AGGACGAAAGACTGTACACGCGTACGATGCTCATGACGGCATACAAAGATGCTCCTGATGCCATAAAGCTAGATGCTCATGAAGCTCCGAGAACCCCAGACCCTGGACCCCAGGAGGCTGGTTGAGGTCCAAGTCGAGTTAAAGAAGAGAGGAAGGTAGGCACATGGGGGGGGTACCATATATATATATAATGTACATATATCTACGGGTGTGTGTGTGTGTGTGTGTGTGTGTTTGTACATGCATACATAAATGCATACATACATACAGGCATGCACACATACGTACATACACACATACACACCTATGTATATACATAGGTACAGGTATACACACACACGTGTCTGTGTATCCATCCATGCAAATAATACACATACACAGATGCATACATGACACCTACGCTATTTTATGCATGACTGTGTATTTGTGCAAAACGTGCGGCCACGATGCAGGTCGCAGTAGCACAGGCAGTGACAGCGTAGCGAGTCGTCGCAGTAGCAGCGGCATCGCAGACAAGTGTGGTGTAGAAAAACCCTTGTAAACAGGTTGGCGGAATCCCACATAACCTTAAGTACAATGCACGTAAGACCTTTAAGGAAACCGGGGTCTCTGCCCTGCGCTCCTTGGCCATCCACCGGCCAGTCAGGTCGAGCACGACTGAGAAGGCCACGTTAAAGACAGCAATCAACAAAACGACCTGAGAGGAAATACATGCCTACATACATATGTGCGTACATGTACATTTATAGCCATATATATATATATACACACGCACATGTCGATATGCAAATGGTATTACACTTATGATGACGACCTGTAGTACTATATTATATATATATATATATCCTGAAACAAATATATTCTGCAATTTAAGGGAACTCTTCTGACTATGTCTGCTGCCATGCTCATCTCGCCCTTCCTCGTGTGCAGGGTTAAGTGGCCAAATTGCTCTCTGCTCTCATGTCGGCTCATACTGGCTACAGGTCATTCTTGCGGTTCATTTTGAACCCCAACTTGCGAGCTGCAGATGTCACTAGGTGTTGTACGGCTGATTTGACTGGTTTTCAAACCTTGCCAGGCCAAGTCGTCTGTAGATTGCTCGGGCCCCCGCGGGGACTAGAGCCCAGAGCCTGGCAGCCACAAGTCGCGAGATGCCGAGCGATTTTGCAAGCTTTACGTGCAATGTAATCTGCGAGAGACGAGACTCGGATGCTCGGTTCTTTGTGTTCCAAGATTTCGAAACATGCATTACGCAGCAGAAAGAAGCGAGCCGCAAGGACCAACAGCATCTGGATGCCCTCTTGGCATCAGCTGCATCCTTGCAAGGCACTTCAAAACTCTCTCTGTATCTGTCCGTGGGCTCCCGTCCTTTTTGGGTCGCTGTCTGCGCGAGTGCACCTCTGCCAGCAACTCCTGAACAACACAGCAGCAACTGGATGATGTGAAGCGGCGGCCACTACTGATCCTCCAAGCACGGGTGGCACTGCACCTGATACCACGACCGCACTTAAGAAATCAAGAAGCTGCGCAGAACCGGCTTGTGGCGCCTTGTCTGCGTAACCCTGACCAATGTCGACGGCCCTTTGGCACACTGGGCATTGCGGAAACCTGAGGGGCGTTGACATGACGCAGCCAAAGACAGGTTTGCGACAGTTTCCGTCCCCGGCTTGGCTCGTGGATCATGCAGACGCTCCTGAAGAAGCATCAAAGTCTCGTGTACATGCCCATGCCACGGCACAAGCGGAGGGGAGTCTTTCCAAAGAACCACGCAAGATGCGGAGCCATCCGCATCTACACACAGACGCACAGACACGAATCTGCACACAACACAGACACAAACACACACACACACACACACACAAACGTTGGTAACATACATGCATGCATCCATGCAAGCAGAGCCAGCCTGGGAGCATGCATGCATAATTACGCACATAAATACATAATTACATACATACATGCATGCCGAGAAGAGGGCACATTTGGAACGTCAAAGAAAACGCTCCGTGTTTTAGTATCTGTTTCAGCTTGCGATATTCTCGTATAAACTCACTCAAGACATAGCACCCGATCAACGACAGACTTGTGCTTGATTCTGCATGCGTGCTGGCACACACGCACAGACACCCACACACACACACACAAACTCACACACGCACAGCACATACATATATATATATATAGAGAGAGAGAGAGAGAGAGAGTCAAGCGGCGCCTTAATTCCAATATATATATATATATATAATATGTAGGCAGAAGCGCAATCGCACCACATGCTCGCTATACAGGCTCTCACATACATGCACACATACATACATACATACATACATACATACATACATACATACATACATATATTACAATACACTACGCTACATTGCATTACATGAATACATTAAATACATTAATCCATCCATCCATCCATCCATACATGGATGCATGCATGCATGCAACGCAAATTATGTAGAACGCCCAACATGGCAACATAACATATGCATTTACTGCTATGTATCTTTCTTGATAATATCTATTCGCATCTGCTACAGTGGTGAGATCTGCGCGTCTTGCAGGGGGCCTTTGCTCTTCGGAACTGGAAGCTTTGCTTGCCGACACTTATTTCAGCTTGGCTGGGTGTTTCTTTCCCCATGTTGCCTTGGTTGCCTTGGTTGCTTGCTTGCTTGCTAGGGGTGTAGGGCCGCCCCTCTCCTTGTGTTATGCAACTATATGTGCATGTGTATATATATATATATGTGTATAAATACTAACTGTTTGTTTATTTATAGACGCAGACTCGGGCAAAAGCAGGTTTTAAGAGTGATCTCCAGCCTCCCAGTCGGCCCAGCATTTCGCGCAGGCAGTATGCGATGCGAGGGCTGAGCTGTACGGCAGCCTTCCGAGCTGGGGAAACGGCCATCAGGATGTCTGAGGGGCGCTGAGCTTTTGCCTTGAAGACGTTGGCGCAGCGCTTTCGTAATGAAGAGGGACGTATTGCCTGGCACATCCGTGCCGCACTTCCGAAGCTTGGCGGGGAAGCATGAGGATGAGGTCCCCCAGCCTTCCGTCAATGGAGAGGCAGAAGATGCATCCTCAGGTTCTCTTCGCCCGGGCTTCTCACTTCTTCTCTGTTCTGTTTCGACTGGGTGTTTGTAGCTAATCAGCCTTCTTAACACGCCGTGCCCGAAGACCCACTAGGCCGAGAGTCCTGAGCCTCAACGAGTCGCGCTTTGCAGTTTTGAAGCCAAGGCCCATGCACCACCATAAACCTAAGACACCTCCTGGCTTCCCAAATCTCTGAGGTGGAGGCGCTCAGGCACCGAGGGACACTTGGCACATTGCACCGGGGTGTCCTGTTGAATTGGTAGGAAAGGGCCGAATGACGTCGCGGGAGTACAGCTTGAATCTGCAAATCAAGATTTCGCAAGAACAGGACAATCTGCACTGGGTCCTTCTCACTCGCCGGGCTCTTGTCCACCGGGTCACAAGGCATGGGACCCATGGCGACTGTACAGGGACATGCGCGAATTTTCAGGGCCCACACCGTCCGAGCACGGCCTATTCGATATTCTGTGGCTGAACGTTATGGCAGGCTGGCTGACATCGTGGTTGAGTAGTTTGCTTAACGGTAGCACTCTCCCTTTACACGAAGACTGGCAACTGGCAATTGAATGAGTAGTTTGCGATTGCGTGATTTCTGCCTGTTTCCTGCAGCCGAAACCAACATTTGCAAATGCATGTCTTGACAGTGCAGCTCGACTCCCATCACTTGGGCGGGCGCAGAGCATGAGGAGGAGAGGATGTGCAGACTTTCGGAGCTGATCTTGACCAAGATTGTAACTTATAGCCTTGTCGTGCTGCCCATTCCAACTATAAGCCCCGTTTCTGGCGGTTGCCATCTGTCAAGCATGCAATCCCTCAGGCATCCGCCGTCTCCACCACCACGCAGCGGCGCTTCTGTTAGCTAGGTTGTGGGAGCATTGACAACAATGCCTGCTCTCGGCGCGTTCGGGTGCATGCACATGTCGTCAGGCCTGCGCACAGCCGCTTTTGCCGGCCCTTGCATGTATGCCGCTTCGTCCGATGTGGAAAGCCCCCAGTCAGACAGGAGGCAAGCCTAGCCGCCTAGCCTGTGACATAGTAATGTTGGCTGCGGGGGCATGGTGACGCCTCCACGCCGGCAACTGCTCAGACGCAAACGAGCCCTGTGCCAGGCGGTGGAGCGCTGGCGAAAATGCCGCTATGCGGCTGTTATAGTGCTTGTCTACGGCACGGCGCCAGGAAGCTGGCACAAATCGCTGCACAGGAAGTCGTCGCAGAATAGGGCCCGCTTGCTCCCCAGATTCGCACCGCAGTGCTGTCACATCTGACGCTTCTGGATCTTATTAGCGCTGATCTTGTGAAGCACTGCTGTTCGGTCCTGTAATTCAAGCTACATGCGGCTATGCAGGCGCACACACACACATAGTCTTACAGCAACGCGTACAGATTAATACCAATTGCCAGTACCAATGAAGGCGCATCTACCAAAGCACTTAGTTGCCGCGTGGCTCGTGCGTCGCGACGTGCCTTAGCCTGCGTGCCGGGTCCGGGAGCCAGTAAACATACACCTCGTTCGTTGATTCATGATTTGGATTCTGGAACTGCGGAACTGGGTTGTTGGTCAGCTGATTGCCATTGCTTTCTTGCCACCCAAAGACTCATCCCCGAAACCGCTGGGAGGCATGCAACGCAAGCAAAATTCCACATGCTGGAACACGGAACTCGAGATGCTTACAATCCAAACTCTGCTGCAAAGGCAACGAACACCAAACCTGCCCGAGCTGCCATGGCGGATGCTAAATTACTAAAGGTTCGCAGCCATTGGGAGGAGCACTCGAGACTTGCCATGACCAGATTGACGTGTACTGAAGAAAATAGGGATGAACACGGACTGGTAGAAGCTTAGCACTATGCACAAAGCCTGTTCTATATTGTTGACAAGCAGCAGTAAAGTTAGCAGGTGCACCTGTATGACCCTATGCTTGCCTATCACGAGCGACACGAGTCGTTCAATGGTACTGAAGTGCGGCAGCTTTTCGATGCATCCTACGTACAGCCGACCGCTAGCGGACGCTATGACTCTAACCCCGACAGAACACCCAACGACTACCCAGGCATCCTGTGCACTTCGGATCTAGACTTGGCCCTTCTTCAAGTTTTTTCTGAGCCAACTTTTGGGCGGAATGGTGCTGCGGTGAGCTGTGGTGAGACAGAACTACCTAAGCGACCTTGCTCAGTCAGGCTTAGTCTTCACTTCGGCCACGACGACGGGCCAAAGGCCTTGTCTGGAGTCTGGGTCTGAGAGAGCAAACCTGGCACCTTTGGAATGCCATGGCCCTGAATGCCGAGGTGTCCGGCAACTGCGACGAGCTTGGTGAAGGGATTGGAATCTATCCGCTGCTGGAGTTGCGACATGCGCCACTTGTGCCTGCGAGATGCGGCGTGTCACAGGGTCGAACCCCAAGGACAAGCTCAACACGTTTCATTCAAAATCTGAGTTTACAGTAACCTTGAACAATAGACACAGCACTATAGCCCTCTCTACTGTACGGCAAGTTGCTGGGTGTTGTCGTGGTAGATCCAGAGCAGGAAGCCAGCTAGGCCCAGGAGGCACACGCGGTTCAGTGGTGAGGCCCAGAAGTCAACCAGGTCTTTCCGGGACAGCTCCCACATATGCTGGGGCATCTTTGGCGGTTCTGGTGGCATCTCGGGTACTTGCTGCGATGTCGTGACAGATGAGCTGTTCCTCAGTCAGGACATCGAGCATGCAGAAATTGCCTCCAAGAATGGCGTGACAGAGTCAAGGAGTCAAGGAGCTGTATGATCAACTGCACCGGAGCTTGCGGGGCAGCTGGTCTTTGCCTGGCTGAAGTGTACGAAGGACTGAGGCTCCAATCAAATTCCCAGTAGATTTCTGGGCCCCGGCGGCATGGAAGCCGCCACTGTCTGCGCCGCTTCGCGAACCATGGACCTGCAGGCTTGCGCAGCCACCGGCACTCGCAGAAGTCCACCGCTAGCAGTTCACGCCTCACGTCACCATTCGGATGCGGTGCCTGCAAGCATCAACATTACTTGAAGAGGGGGGGAAAGTGACGTCGCAACTTCTGACACGATTGTGTGGAGCATTCCTGCATTGGAGCTTCCATCGCTCTGGGCACTGCCACCTGGCTCTGAGCAAAAGCCAGATGTTGGGACTAGAGCTCGTGAAGACACCGGCCTGGCCATCACTTGCGGTCGGGCCTCGTGGATCCAGCTATCAGCTTCACTACAGAAAAGCGTGTCGTGGGCATCCCCACAAACAAATTCTGAGATTCTTCACTTCGATCTAACCGACCTGCTGAAGCCCCCCACCAAACTCGCCCCCTGAATCACTCCCCAAGCTCGGCCCAGGACGCGCTGTCGAGGCGGCACCATCCTCAAGGCCGCAGCTTTCCGGGTTGGGATGAATTGCTTCTCCATTTCTAACCGTCTGTAAAGGATGAGGAAGGTCATGGCCATGGCATGACTCTGCTTGGATGTTTCTGCCCAGGCTCGGCCAGCTCCGGATTTCCCAGGAGGCGCGGCCCAAGGAAGCCCTGCCATCGGGCCATTTCTGCGCAAGCAGTTCCTGGTGCCTCAATCCTTGCCCTCTCTTGAGCCCATTATCCACGGGACTAGCAGAATGTTGCGCTGTGGACTGAACGGAATGCCATGTTGGCATTCCTGACACTTGTCTAGTGATTAGGTTCTGTTCTGGGGTTGAGGGTGCATGCATATCCAAGTTGCAAAACTGCTCCAAAGCGTGCAAGAAGCATCTCACGCCACCTTTCGCCGCACGGCGCTGATTTACCAATAGTCGACCACACTGAAGAACCAAGCGAACCAAGTGGGCTTCTACGACGGACCCTTCGGGCCGGTCATGCGTCCTGGAGACTCTTGGCTGTTTGATGCGGGCTCCGACACTGAAACCCAAAATATCCGGATTTTCGAGATGCCGGCTTTCGGGACGCATTCAGTGGTCACCCAACGACTCCCGCGCAACTTCGTCGAGGAAGTCATGGGGATTTCTGATTTAACGCTAATGGCTGTGGGCATGCCAGGACCACCGTGGCTTTGCCATATGCGGTGGCCTCTAAAAACTGCGCAAGCATGCGGGATCGCGTGCTGCATTTGGTGTGTGTTCTTTGGTTCATTGGGGCTAAGGCTCGAGTGAGTTGTAAGCGAGCCTTCATGCTCAGTTTCCATGAAGCTCCGGATGAGATTTCCATCAACATGCTGGACTCTGTTGCTGCAGTCTTCACTTCGCCACTCAAAACTTTCCTCACCCGGAGGTTGCAGACGAAGGGCTCGGCAAACGTGTCTTTACAGTCTCATCGAGTTCTTTGTGGCTCAACCTTAGATAACATTCCCTGAGCTACTCACTCTAAAGCTCGACGCATGTGGTGTTCACCAAGAGCTGCGCTGCAGCTTTTGGATACCTCCCTGCAGGTCCATTGCTTTGTCCTGACCCGAAGCCGAAGGAGGAACTGGCACAATCACCCAACCGCTCAAGTAGCAGCTTAGTAAGCTATGGCCGCCCAACGACTTGCTGGGCACCCGGCCAGCTGTTCCATGTACTGCCGCGTCAATTGCTCCCGCAACCTGGCCATGGCGGTACATCGGATCTGGCTTAGGAAGGCTGGGGATTGGAGACGTCAGCCAGCTGAATCGTTTTTGCGACGCGCTGGAGGCGCGAATTCAGCATACCGATCTTCGGCAGTTTGTGTGCGATCGATGTGAAACATAGGAGACTCCAGGACTCCTTTGCTTACTCAGCGACAAGCACAGCAATGCGATGCAGGGGCACCGCAGACCCGAACCGGCTCAGCATGTGCTTCCGGATAGATTCATCTTCAGCTCCGTTTGGGATCCTTGGGCCGGGTGCACGAAAGAACGAGTTCATGATTGGGGATGGCGTAAATATTTCTGCCAGCCTTGGGCGAGAACTCTCTTCATGTACATCGGGCGTACACTTAGACTTCATTGCAGCTGCGCAGCTTCCTGAGCGATATCAGCAGGGTGCGCAGAGTGTGGAGAACTGGCGGCGGCTGCATCTCTGGGTGTGCCGGCTCCTGTGGCATAAAGAGGGACGGACAGGAATGGAACAAACGGTTTACAGAGTTTTTTTCCTGTGCAGGGGTTTGACTCCCCCTGGCCTTCGTGTCTTTGGACCAGCAAGCATCCCTTGAGAAAGCACGCTGAACTTCGGATTCTGGGAGGAACGCGTCAGCGAGGCAGCTGCACTGGAAGTGGGGCGGGTCGAAGATGTCTGTCGGTAACCTTGGGGACACCCAGTGACATGGAATTTGTCAGTCTCCCGCTGGTTGCTGGCGATCAAAAATGTGTTGGGATTCTTAGGTTTAGCCTAGGCGCACTAGCTTGTCGAAGAAATAATCGAGACACCACTCCTTGGGGACGGCGTGGGCATTTTCGAGATCCCAAATGTCCACCGGCACCTCCAGCTGGTGGTTCGAGAATGGAGAAGCTGGCTTCTCATCGTCAGGCCAGATCAAGGCAAAAGGCCTTGACTCCACCAAGGCAGTCTGAATGGCTTTTTGGAAGAGCGGGTCAGTATGTCGCACACGACGCTTCTCGGCTGCCACGTGCGAAATGTGGATGGATGTCCCAAAGGTGCACCCACGTGCACCGGGAATGTCTGCTTCTGCACAGCAGAGAGGGGGTGGAGACGTCAACGAAACTTCCGGGCCGGCATTGTAGGATTGTTTGGCGAGCAGGAAAGGAACTAAAAAAGGCGCCTCCTGTGACATCGATAAGGCTTTGCTCAAGATCTCCTTTCCACTGCAGCGAATCACTGGCATGAAGTAGCTTGTGCTGGGATACGCATTAATCTTCAGATGCTGCTGTCTTAGAGCTTCTCTTTCCTGCACCTTGTTCACCCATTGCCCCGCATGGTTTCGTAAGCAGTTGTGCCAAAATATCCCGTGGCTTTCGAGATTCGTAAAGCCACAAATGTATGTCCCTTGCCCATGCATCTCCCCACCATTCCAGTCCCCGTCATAAACGGTACCTTCCGGCCACTTGATGCGGCCGTAGCCATGGGGACAGCCATGCAGAAAGTACCCTTCATATACAGTTCCATCGCTCCAATGGTAAACACCTGAGCCAGTGAGTTGTCCCTTTCTCCAGGCGCCTTGATAGCGACCGTGCAGAATGTCCGGAGCTTGCCCATCCTCTGCGGTTTCTGGCGGCCGCGCTGTGAAGAGTTGCAGCCCAAGGCCGTGTCTCAAGCACGTGCCGTCTGCCGCCTCCTCGACCTCGCACACGTGTTGGGGATCTGATGCGCAGCCCTTTTCTCACCGCGTTCATCAAGCACACCATGGTTCTCGCAAGACAGTAATCACCCACCTTTACCATCATCTCCACCACGCGCCATCGCTATCAAAATCCATATTCTATAGTCATAAACACTGTCCTAATCTTTGAAGCATGCCCCCAAACAAGAGTTGTCATCGCCAGCACGGACACCCATCAGCAGTCGATCTTTCGTCATCGTTCTCACCACACGCTCGCTCAACATAATGTAACGATCAAAATGCTGGATCTCTCCACTGCCCGTGCCTCGCCGTAGTAGATCTGCCCGCCATTGCGGAAGCAGCGCTTCACGCCAGCCATTGCTCAGCGAAGAGGAGCTGTGCCCAGCAGAAGTCTGGTGACCTGCGTAGTTGGCTCACTTATCGTACCTGGCAGGTACAGCCTCGACCACGATCCCTTTTTTCCAATATCCTGCAGAATCTCTTGCTCCGTGATGTCGGATGTGAGGCCTGTTTATCGGGCGTGACATGTTCCTTCTCTGTGTCCATCATCCCTTCTGCTGCGAAGCTGCTGTCAGAGAGAATTGAACGGTGAAAAATGTACTACTTTTGAAAGTTCCGCGTGCCAGAAAGTGTCAGGCTGCAAGGCATGCGGCACCTCTCCCCTTCCTGCTGCTGCCTCTCGGCATGCTCCTTCAACTCGATGCGAAGCGCCTCCAGCTCACTAGTAGAGGCCGTCTGTGCATACCCAGAACATCGACACAAGCAGCGAAAGGAGGATAAGACATGTGACTGTGATTGCATGATGTTCCATGGCACGCTGTAGAGGCTTTGGTATCCATCTCGGCATTCAGCAGTTCACGGGCTCGTGCCTCGCAATCCTCTTTCATTTCTGCTTCCGACAGAGCCTGCGGCGACGCGCTCTGCCCCAACAGCAACGCAAAACAAAAAACGTCACTGACAGGTTGTCAAGACTCACCTCCGCATCGGGTTGACACTTGGCGGGGTAACTTGGATCTCAGAAATCGCGGCAGGCCCGGCAGGCCTGACTATTCGCGGTGTGCTTCAAGCCGTCCCGAATCGTTGCCTACAGAGTGCCACGGAATGCAACAGAACACGAGCTATGTCGAGCTTCGCAAAGCGGCGCCTCCTCCTCTCGCAACGAGGTGATCTGATCCTCTAAGGATCCACACCGCCTCTACAGTACATGCTCGTGATGTCTTGCGGCGATGCAAAGTGTTGCGCACGGGAACTTCTGTGTTGCTTGGGCCACGACTTTTCCACCTTTACTGCCTTTGCCTCGTGCCACGGGTGCAGCAAAGATGTTCTTGCTTCGCGTTTGACTCAGGGCCGCAGCTCGCAAGTCGTTCAACTCCTCGAGAGCTGCGCTGAGGTCTTTCCTGACACAAAGGTCTGTCTACCGCTGTCGCGAGATTTCGGGACTACGGCTAGCATCAAGGGCCTGTTGGTCTGCTGCTGTCTCACGCTCGACCGAATCCGCTCCTGTTCCTGTGGCTGACACATGTTCGCAAACTGTATCGTCGATGCTTCAGCAAACGTCGAGCATCCCTCCCTTTTACCGCACATTCCTCGACGAAATCGCGGCGCAAGGCATCAATCTCTTCCTCGATTTGGTCCGTGAGCGATGAGCTTACTTGATGATCCGCTCGGGTCTACGGAACCATGGCCTTCTCGGTGCTTGCTCTCACCACTTCGTCCGCATACTTGCGCGCCACCTCGTGTGAGGAGTCACTGTGCATCTGCTCTTAGTACTCCCACCAGTCTGCACAGCCCCAAAGCTAGTTCGCCTTGGAATGCCTGCTTCAGATTAGCCGGATCAGACAGTTGTACCAAGCGGACACTTGCGATGACATGCAAGAGCAAGAACAGAGCCAGGTCAGTCATGTTGTTGGTCTTGTTAACACTGTCGGCAAACCTCCTCAGCATAGCTCTTTGTCGCCATTTCCGAGGTGTGCGCCTGGGGGACAGGCGCTCACAACTCGCGAGGCCAATGGGTTGAATGTCTAAAATGCATTGTCAAGGGTTGTGAGCGATAGCTTCGAAGGTTAAAATGGCTGTGAAACTGATATACAAGAAGTTTGTTTGCTTACTGTGCCACGGAGCCTTGCAACCTGCGCAGTTGCATGGAATCCAACTACTTCGACTCGCTTGCTTGTTCAAGAGTTGGGTGAGGTAGGAGATCCCAAACGTCCTACGTACCGCGCGCTGGTCGGCCGGAGACCCACGGAGGGAAACTCAGACTTCACTTCACTCCGGGGTACGAGGAGCTGGTATGGCTCCCTGCGCCCCTGTTTCGAAGCTTTGCGGGGGAAAGGAACAGCTACTTCGAAAGGACATGGAAACTTACAGACTGTCTCTCACTCTCTCCTTTCTCTCTCCCCAGAGACACCCGTGACTTTATGGGTACGGTGGAGTGTGAAACGAAGAGCTATGAAGGAGTAGGCAAAAGCCTTTCCTCTTTTCTACTAGCAAACCCTTTGGGTCAGCGTGCAACCCTCAGGCAATTGGCCCGCCCAACCACCCCCTGTGTTACAGCGTTGCCGGCTGTGAGGTTCTCGGCAAAATGGCACGAACTACAACTAAGCCTTCTCTCTCGCTTGCTTGCTTGCTGGGCGTTTGGGAGTCCAAATACGCATCCCCGACCCCCTGCACCGAAGTGCTACGCCTGAGTCCGAGTCCGGTTTTAAGTCGGCGCGAGGCTATGTGTAAACCCACATTCCTCGAGGGGGCTGAAGGATTTCTAAGAATCTTTCAGGGCCCAGCTGCTGGGGCTGAAGGATTTCCAAGGCTGAAGGATTTCCAAGAATCCTTCAGGGCCCAGCGGCTGGGGCTGAAGGATTTCCAAGAATCCTTCAGGGCCCAGCGGCGGGGGCTGAAGGATTTCCAAGAATCCTTTAGGGCCCAGCGGCTGGGGCTGAAGGATTTCCAAGAATCCTTCAGGGCCTAGCTGCTGGGGCTGAAGGATTTGCAAGAATCCTTCAGGGCCCATGCAGCTGCTGGGGCTGAAGGATTTCCAAGAATCCCTCAGGGCCCAGCTGCTGGGGCTGA